CTCATTTTCCTCACATGATGATTAGTCCTCCCTGAGTCTACGCTTTTGGGAAGCAGCTGATCTTTCTTGCTGCTTATTTTGTAATATTGCTCTGTTCTTTCATTATCTCAGAACAAAGATTCCCAAAGGGCAGAGCCTAGAAGCCTCGTTTCAAAGTAAGCGTTCCTATTCTTCAGGGTGTTTCCTATGGTTCCACCTTTATCCTGGATTACTTCTGTTAGGATTCAGGAATCAGAGATGAGAGGTGATGCATAGATACAGAGGCAGATAAAGAGGTGGATGGACAGATGGATAGATAGATGATTGACAGATAGATATATCGATAGAGAGAATGTGTGCATGTGTAAAAATAGCTATATGCATAGGTAGGTATGTATATAAACAGATAAATGATAGGTGATAGATAAATAGATGATCGAAAGATAGAAAGACAGACAGATAGACAGACAGATAGATAGATAGTAGAGTATGTGTGTGAGTTGATGGATATATACTTAGCTCAACAGGTACATAGACTTAAAAAGATAATAGAAAATGGATATGTAGATAGATGATTTATAGTTAGATGGACAGACAGATAGGTGGATAAATAGAGGATAAGTTCATAGATATCAACATGTAGATACACAGCTAACTCAGTCTGAGCTATGGGAAGTCTAGCATTTGTAGGTGGTACCACTGACATTGGTAGATTCCTAGCTGGTTTGAGAGAGGAGGAAATAAAATTCAGTTCACGTTCAAATTAGCACGTTTCAAGTGGTATCGCTCAAACACTGTTTATCCTAAGGACTGAAGATAGCCCTGAGTGTGGCTTTCCTCAGCTCTTTGACATCATCTTGGAAGTCGTCAGGACATGACCCACCTAAGAGAGGATCAAGCAAAAGCTGCTGACCTTTCAGTCAAAGTCAAGATAACGAAATCATCAGCTTTTTGGATGTAGTATATGTCTTCGTACTGGCCTCTGTTATCCTCATACCTTCTCTCCCATAAATGGTACAGTTATAAGATGCTGGTTTAGACGGCACTGAATGCAGACATGTCTGAGAATGAAAATTTAGAGCTGTAGCAGTCTGCAGCAGGGTGGCGATGCTGTCTAGTCCTGGCCGCAAGCTCACCCAAGTCACGCACCCTCTGTGTTGACCGCCCCAATGAGTGTATGCTTCATCCCTGCTCACACAATGAGGAGTATTTACCTAGAGGTCTGGAGCTGGGAAACAGCAGCACTGCTCTGGAAAAAGTTTTTATGCTGTTCATTTAAGGAAAACAATCATTGCCGAGCAACCTGAAGTGTGCTTGTCGTTTTCTTTAAAGTAGGGTGGTAGGGAAGAGGTTGATTTGGTTTGGACAGAGGTAGTAGTTATTATGACAAGGTACCTTAATAATAATGAACAGGAATTAAGAACAGGGAGACAAGCATCTAAGATTGTTTGTAATCATCAGTCCTGTAAGTCTGAGCATGACACAGATCTCTCTCAACCTCTTTCCCTCAGTCTATAAGATTGGGACAACTCTATTGAACAGTAGGTTGCATCAGGGGAGAAACACAAGAGCAGAAGTAATCCAATAAAAGATGTGCTGCGCCACTAATACAGACATTTCCAAGAGGAAACCAAGCTCTCAAAAATACTCTTTCTTTCATTCATGTTTTCAAGAGGGCAAGAAACATACAAACCATAGACCCTCACGCTCCATGCCATACACAGAGTCTAAACCCAAGAAGGAAGTTACAACCTGTGATGACAGAGCAGCAAGATATGGCCACAGAGCTGGGAAAGAGCTGAGCTGAGATTTAGAGCCTTGGAAGCCTGTTTTATGTCTGCTGATCTATTAGTCTCCTCACCCTGCCCCCCCCCTTTTTTTTGCCAACCCATACACTTTTTCTTAGCAGCAAAAATGAAAGACATTTATGTTCGAAACTAACTCATCCTGATAATTCCCAATTAAGATGTTGTCATCTAGCATCTGGCTCCATTTCCTTTTATGAAATATTGTAAACATAATTTGAGTTTAGCTTAAATGAAGTGTCCAAATGGGATAAAAACAGGTCACCTGGGAAATTAGATTTTATAGATTACAAGAATTCAATGCCTAAGTTGTACTTAATGAGCATAATTTTTTAAAAGAAAATTCTTTGGAAACGATTGGTCTATCAGTTTCATTATTTCTATATAAGTCTACAGCATGAAGCGATTAAAATCAAAATAAATAATATGAACTTCATGCTAGGTAGTAGTGAAAGGCAGCTTCTGAGATTCACAGGATAAATATTTAGGCTTTGACCCAAGTTCATATTTTCTTTTTGCCTTTAAAAAAAAAGTCTGTATAGAAGATTTTTGGATAAAAAGAAATCAGATAACTTCCTAGCCCTGAAACTTTTTGTGGAAGTAATTTCAAAAATACTTTATATGTGTATTCTAGAGATACAATCTCTGGTGTGTGTGTGTGTGTGTGTGTGTGTGTGTGTGATATGTACATATGTTTGTGTGTGACAGAGGCAGAGAGAGGGGTAAATGTGTTCATGTGGTGGGGGAAGGAGGAGAGGGAGAGATAGAGAGGTGATAGGAGAGGGAGAGGGAGGAGAGGGAAGAACAGGGAAAAGACAGAAAGGGAGAAGAGAGAGAAAAAGGGGGAGGAAGGAGACTGTTGGGGGGAGGGGAAGAGAGGGAGACAGAAGGAGAGAGAGAGACAGAGGGAGAGGTAGTAGGGAGAGAGGAAGAAGAGGGAAGAAAACAGAGAAGGAGACGGGAGAAAGAGGGAGAAGAAGGGGAGGCAGCCAGCCAGAAGTTGGTGCTAGGTATCGTCTTCACTTACTCTGCCTCAACTCTTGAGACAGCGTCTCTCATGGAACCAGGAGCTCGCTCACTGGTTCACCTCATCTGCTGTGGCAAGCAGTCCTCAGGGGGGCTCCCCTTTTCTTCCTCCTCAAAACTGAGACTACAGGCCTTTGCTGCCATGCCTGGCTTCTTATCTAGGTACCAGAGAGCCAGACTCCACTTCCCATGCTTTCATGGCAAGCGCTTGATCAAGACTTCTTCCTAGATCCAGCCACTGAGTTCATGTCAGAGACAGCCTCGGCTCCCCTTACTAGGGAACCCACATGGAGACTGAGCTGCCTGTGGGCTACATCTGAGCAGAGGGTCTAGGTCGTCTCCATGGCTGGCTCTTTGATCTCCTCCCCCTGGGGTGAGGGGACAGCCTTACCAGGCCACAGAGGGAGACAATGCAGCCAGTCCTGATGTGAGACTTGATAGGCAAGGGTCAGCTAGAAGGGGAGGAGGACCTCCCCTATCAGTGGACTAGGGTAGGAGCATAGGAGGAAAAGAGAAAGGAAAGATGGGACTGGGAGGGGACTACAGCCAAGATACAAAGTGAATAACTTGTAATAAATAATAAATAAATAAATTAAGTAAGTAAGTAATTTGAAAAGAAAAAGAAGAAGAAGAAGAAGAAGAAGAAGAAGAAGAAGAAGAAGAAGAAGAAGAAGAAGAAGAAGAAGAAGAAGAAGAAGAAGAAGA